CTCCTAGACCCGGTTCTGATCAAAGAAAATAAAACAGGAAGGAGGAGGCATCCGATGAATGTGACCTTCTCAGGCCGTCTCATGCAGTCAACTTCTTGCTTTTCCTCCGAAATTTTTGAGCGCTCTTTGGCTGCAAGTTAGGCAATGACGACTGGTCCGTTAATCCTCCTGGAAAGAAAATGACATCTATGAAATTCGTGTCTATGGGTGCGCCTATCCTCTAAACAGCTGAGCGGAACGGCCGCCGGGATCACGAGGCGATACCTCGCGCAGCAGCCTGCCTCCCCCCCCCCCCCCCCCACGAACACTGGCGCGCACGAAGGCAGTACTCCGCGCTCCGAGCGCCTCTAGAAGTGTCGAGAAGGAGTATTTACGCCCCGAGCACAACTACCCCTTCCATCTCGCTGATATAGAGAGATGGGATGCACCGAATCGTGATTGAAATCGTTGTTGTAATTATAGGAGTCGCCCTCCCGGAGATCCGTCGTGGCGATAAAAGAGCACACGTTCATAAGTGCACGACCCACGCGAATACCGACTGTCTTGCCCCCTTTCCCCCTTTAAATCATACCGAGAGATTAAAAATTAAGTTTTGTTTTTTATCTTGCACCTGTTCAATGTCTTCTCTCACGCACTGCCGAGTTTGAAAGGGAACTTTTTCGCCTACGCGCCCCCGTTCGCCGTCTCGGAGTTCAAAGCGAGTAGATTTCGGGCACGCGGACGGCCTTGCCACCCCCCCCCTCTTTTCCGTCCTCTTTGGCATTCCCTCCGCATGGCCACCCGGTGGCCACCACGCGGATGATAAAGCGGGGATACTTACCACATGGCTCGAGTGTGAAACACCGGGAGTATCTGCGGGGCGAGGAGGCCGGGGCCGCGCCGAGCCTCGCGTGCTAGTGCTGCTCTTATTGATTCCATCTTTACTGCACTAATTAGGCGCCATTTGGAGGTGGCTGCGGGCAATGTGCGCGTTATTTACGGACCGCCGACATGCATCCCCAAATGGATGGCACCATAAACTTATTCACCTTTTTGGCGCCTTTCATGGCAGAAAGAAATGAAACGGCCTGCTGTGGGAAATGAATAACACAGACAGTATTTTTTCACTAAAGTCGTGATGAGCAGAATCTACAAATCGGATACAGGCATTGTGATTTTTGAGTTTTTAGTTTAGTACCCAATGGTTCTGAGATTTCTGCCCTTGGCCTATATTTGTTCGTAATCGGAGTCCTCATTTTTCACGATAGTCTGGTCTCACAGGCGCTAACAACAACTAACAACCACTACGGTCATTATTTGTCGATGTATATGTCCGCTACCCCCTGGGCGGTAGGCAATCCATAAGAGCGAGCACAGCAGGCACGTTTGGGGGCGTCGGATCGGGTGGAGTGGCAACACCTGGCTCCAACCCGAGGTCAGGTCTGTTTCCGGTTGGCTTGCGGTTTTGACTGTTCAGCGTGCAAACGATTGGTGGCTCTTCAGCACAATCTTTTTTTGTGTGTGTAATTTTAACTTTTGTGACAAATTATTTGGATCTCTTGACGCAAGTATGATCGTTTAGGTTGCACACGTACCTTAGTTTGATCCTAAATGCCGTTCTCAAGTGAAGTGACTCATAGTCGTCTACACAACATAACCTTCATAGTCCGTAACAGGTTAGTGACATGTTAAACTTGTTTCCTCGACCCGAGAGGTCTACTACTCGCCTCAGCCGTGTACTTTTGAGTATAGATTATAAGGATTATAGCGTGATTATAAGATTATAGAA